GACTCGTTGTGCTTCTCCTCGAACTGATACCCGTTGAAAAAGAGATACAGCGATTGGGAAATGCAGAGTTCAAACAAAAGGTAAGAAAATTCTGTGAAAGTCGTCCTTGAAATTGTAATTTTCTGGAATTTTACGGATTGCTATGATTACCACAAAGCAGACTAAAAGCGGTAAATTTTGACTTTTCAGTTCGACAACATTATTCTTCTTTTGGAAAAGAAGATGCGCATCAAGTATGAATTATTCAAAGCGGTGGGTCCTTGGTTCCTACTATGTAACCATTATTAATTAAATGATTCCATTTAGCGCATTTCCAATGTTATTACTCGATTTTTGGAACCAACACTGCTTCCCTTTGCAATTCTGCAAGTTCCAAGTCCAGAAGAGATAGAACAGGCTCTCCTGGCTATTGGAAATGCACCTGTATTTGGTGGAGGAAGCCAGGCACTCGCAGCAACTATTTCAAACAGGGACACCTCCAAAAATGAAACAGGAACTGCAAGGGAAGTTCAACCTCCCGAACTCTCTCAGCAAACGACTCATTCCTCCAGACAATCCCGAGAGAAGGCTCAATCCTCCATACCTCAAGAGGAGACTCAACGCTCCACGAACTCTCAGGAAGAGGCTCAAACTTTTCAGACATTACTTCCACGCGCTCAACAGCTCTATCAGCCTCAATACCTCTCTACAGCTCAAGAACCTGAATATCGGCCCAAACCTCGTTACAACTACCTCTCCGTAAACCCCTACCCTCAGGATTATGAATACAGTAGCAGTAATACATTTACCAGCTCATCAGGACAATATTACTGGCCAAATTATCCATATAATTCCTATCAACCTGCTGTACAATCGGTACAGTACTCACCACAGTACTACTGGCAGCAACCAAGGCAACAATATCGGGTGCAGCAACGTCAACCAGCATACTATTGGGTATATCCCGATGGCAGAACCTATTATGATCGATATTATCCATACTAATCTCTAATCTTAATATTTA